TGGCCGTGATAGAGACGTGTCCCAGTGGGCAATCCGTTGGAACATGCGTGTTCTCGGGTATGAGAGCCGTCGCCCTACTCGTGTGCCACTGCTAACCCAGCGTCATCGGACAATTCGTCGTGCATTTGCCACCAATCACCACGTATGGGCACTGCAACAGTAGCGTAACGTGATGTGGTCTGACGAATCACGTTATCAACTGTTCCAGGCTGATGGGAGGCACCGTGTGTGGCTCACAGCGCATGAAGCGATGGATCCAGCATGACAAGTGGGCACAGTCCAGGCCGGTGGCCTATCAGTCATGGTGTGGGGTGCATTTTCGTGGCATGAAAAGGGCCCCCTGGTCGTTCTGGATGCCACATTGACTGATCAGCGGTATCTTCAGCTGCTTGGAGACCATCCCCACCCTCTTGTCATGTTTCAACACCCTGATGACATTGCTGTGTTTCAAGATGACAACGCAGCCCCACATCGTGCCAATATCGTCCGTGCCTGGTTCGACGAGCATGTAGGTGAGATCCAATGACTGAATTGGCCACCTCGAAGTCCTGATATGAACCCCATTGAACATATCTGGGATGCCCCCAACGTCACGCTCAGGGCATTGAATCCTTAACCCACGAACAGGCCACAATTGGCTGTCGCTCTGCAGGATGTGTGGTGCCAACTTCCTCCGGACGTGTTCCAGAGCCTTGCAGACTCACTTCCACGCCGTATCGCTGCACTCCGCAGGGCCAGAGGGGGCCCGACCACATATTAGGTGGGTATCCCGTGAGTTTTGCTCAGTCAGTGTATATATATTTTAAAATTTAAAATTTTTTTTTAAAACTATTTTATTTTAATAATATATTTTCTTCCCTAAGTCAATAATCTTAACGACATCCTGCCTGAGATCCGTAATAGAGTCACAGCAGCTAATCGATGTTTTTGCGGTCTTAAAAAGTATCTGAAATCTAACTTCATCAGCAGAAAAACAAAGATTCTGATATACAAAAGTTTGATAAGACCCATTCTTACTTACTCTACTGAGGCTTGGACAATAACAGAAAAAGTAAAGTACACTATTTCTGTGTTTGAAAGAAAAATTTTACGAAGCATATTTGGTGGCCTTAAATGAACAATATCTGGAGAAGAAGAACTAACTCCGAACTTTAATTACTATTTAAAGAACCTGACGTAGTCAAATATATTATAATTCAGAGAATCAAATGGGCGGAACTCCTATCAAGAATGGATAACAACTGCGTTACAAAAAAGATCTTCTCTGCCAGACCATTAGGCACTCGAAAAAGAGGAAGACCTAGACTTAGATGGCTCGACTGCCTCGAAAGTGATTTAAATATTCTAAAAGTCACAAATTGGATGTCTCTGGCCAACTGTAGAAGAGCCTGGAGTTCAACTCTGCGGAAGGCAGGGACCCATCCTAGGCTGTCAGGCCAATGAAGAAGATTTTCTTCTCTAATCATTAATCTTTATTGCTTTCCATGTTTTCTATTATGTATTGTAGTGTAGAAAATAATGCAATAAAAAACTGTAGTTCGTAGTGATTTCTAGCAGCTGTTTTAATGCTACAGTAAAGAAACAAAGTTCAAAAGCAACTAACTTTTCTAATCTAATTTGTAAAAATCTCACATCGGTCCTTCAATGTATAGGATGAGAATACCTCAATAACCAAACTTTAATGAAAATTATGTCTAATATTCCACAGCAGCAATTTCTTCTTAAAGCATGGTAGCAGTTTTTGTTAAATTGCTTAGAGGAACTCTTGTAATCGAGAACACTGTAATTAGATAGATTTCTCTCTGATAATTATTTCCGATTTTATAAATATGGAAGATGACAGCAACTTTCAATGTTTATGTTGACAATATTAAGCTACACAGCGTGTAACTATTTTAGTTTGATAAATAAGTATGAGAGCTGGAAATTTTTCAGTTGTGTGTAAATTTTACCTGTTTAATAAAAAGCTGACTGTTTCAAAATAGTCTGCCTCTAATTTGATTTGAACATTTTGAACTGCTATCTCTTCAAATGCAAGTATGCACTGGTAAAAGATTAAAAGAATAAATGCACATTATTCCAATGGAAAGAAACATATTTTCCCTCGTACTTTTTGATAAGAAATAAAAATTTATTTAACACTTCACAAAATCGCAAGTATTGAATAATTTCTTAGCATATCTCAAATTAAGTATTCTTTATTGAGAAAGGCATAAAAAGTTGAAAGAAAAAGTTTGTAAAAATATTGCTTAGAATAACAAACTGGCTCATGTAAATAACATGAATAAATATATCATAATTATTCCTCATATTTTAATATGAGGATTTATACTTGATTGTAAATTAAGCTTTCCTGCTGAATTAAGTCTCCTAAAAATAGTAACTAAAAAAAAATTTGACTACTGCTTGAAGGTAGTATGAAGGTTATACTTACGTTAATAACAGCTTCATAGGCTTTTTCGACATCACCCAACTTTGAAAACCTTCTTTGAATCAATGGCTTTAATTCAGGATACTTAAATAAAAGAAATTTTCATAGAACAAGCAGTAAAAGGTATGATAAAACATATCATTCACAAAATAATTGTTTTCAAACTGAACCCTGAAATAAGTAACAACTGAACATTTGAATGAAATTATATAGTTTATCTAAAGTAAGAACTCCCCTTGCCATTCGTCTGGACCCGTGCTGGTGACTATGGTAATGAGGTATAACTATTTCAAGTAGGGATGTGGGGCCATTGCTTAAGACAGGTTTTGATGAGAGAAAGGGAATATTTCTCCTGAGAGCTACTCTCCCTGAAATGCGCTATTCTTGTTTCCATAGCAGTAGATGTCCTCAGACTTTATTGGCTGGGAGAGTAGACAAATTATAATAATTGCGAGTATTAAAATTGAGTTAAAAGACTTGATCAAAAAATGTGAACCACCTCAAATTTTGATTTTAGCGAGTTTGAATTATTCATGTTCAACAGTATTTTTGAGGAAAAAAAGAATGATTTTCAATGACCTCAGAGTTCTATCAAACAGAATTTATTTTCTAAATTTGGTGGATAAATAATAATAAAAAAAACACTCTCAAAGAATAAAAATCTTGGTTTATTTATTCCATTATAAATAAAACAAAAAACTGCAGATATTATTTTATTTAGTTATGCTTTGTATTCCATCAAGAATGTGAAGTAGCAAAATTTGCGAAACCAGCGATTTCAGCAGGAATGCAATTTTTTCAGCGGGACTGAATTTTATTTAACCATGCAACCTGACTTTTTCCTGTTAGTGGTTTCATTTAAGTTTTTAAATTAAATTTAATTGTTTATTCTGATCAGGGTTACTTATGGCAATATTTGTCCATATTTCTGCAAAATATACAGCATGTTTTGCTGCATTTTGCATGCTCTTTTCATAGTTCAAATATATGTGGTAGAAAGCCTTTTGAGAGTGAAGCCAGAATTTTTTCCAGGAATATAGGTTATAACCTATATTCCCGAAGAAAAAAATTCTGACACTGTTAGAGGTACTGACTCTGATTTCAAATATATTGAAGACAGATGCGGCAGAACAGATACGAATTTCTCGGATTCCTCCGCTTATGAGGATGAATCTGATGATTCATTTTCTATTCCAAATGTTTGTAGTATAAAATGCTTTACCTTAGTATTTCACAAGTTAAATCATAATTTAACGATTAATTTTCAAAATTGAGCTTTTATATGAATATTCTTCAATTAAAAATTTTTGACAGCCTTTTTTTAATCAATTCTATTATAAAAAAAAATCTTTTACCAAAATGTTTGAAAAAAAAAAAAGTTTTCACTAAGAAAAGAGCATTAAAATATTTGTAAATGTGAAATAAGTAACAAACAAACACGTAACTTTTTTAAAACAAATTTTGATTTAAAAAAAACTTACGCAGCTAGATCGTTAAAATAATAATTTTAAAAAATATAAAAGCCTGAAACAAAATTACCTTTTGGCTTGCAAATAACACAGGAGCAGTAGCTAAACCTAGCCTCAAGTCGGCTGTTGTGGGCTTACCCATTTCTGATTGGCTGGAGATAAAGTCGAGTAAGTCATCAATTAGCTGAAGGAAATATTTAAGAAAATTCAGAGAGTACAAAGAATAAGTTTTATTACAAATAAAATAACATTTATAATACACATGAGCAACCTAAAAAGTGTCACTGAATTCAAGGAATAAAACAGTGACTACATATTTCAATGAAGAAAAATGTCTAATAGGGGTGTATGGTCGACTCTTAAGAGTATTAGCAGGGTCATCTTAATACAAGCAGGGCCTCCAGGCAAAAAAATGTTTTGGACCCCTATAACTTGGCATATCGACTAAAAATTTCACATACATAAAATAAAACATTTTTAAGGTATTCAATAACAAACTTAAACACATTTTTATCAACCCAAACACTCAATGCACATAAAATAAAGCATTTTTAAACTATGCATGATTTAAAAAAAAAAAAAAAGGAAAAAAACTAGATGCTAACCAATTGCAATCCTCAAGTAATAACATAATTTTTAAAATCAAGAAGCTAATTAAATTTAAAAAAAAACATAAGGGTACATAACATAATAATAAATTTTAAAAACAAAAAAATTCAAAAGATATGAATTATTTCGTCAGTTAGTAAAAAATCTATCAATGCACATCAGACATAACCAGTTTAAAGGTTGCTATCCCATAGTGCTCTGCAATTCGAAACTCTTTCAATTATTACTTTATTTAACTATAAATATTAAATGGAGTTGGTGGTGATCAAGAATATCTAGAGAAATTAGTTGAAAGCCTAAAAACTTCATTTTAATGTAGACAAAAAGATTTCGGTTGACTTTTTAAGTGGTCCCAGTGATAAACCATTAAAATTATTGTTATTTGCCTAATAACCAATCAAGATTTTTTGAAGAGAAAAAAAATTTCCCATTTTTTATACGAGAATATATTCATTTAAAAAAATATATAATGCAATCTTTTTGCTCTTACAGTATTGCATAAGTGCCGCGACGATAGCAAAAAAAAATTTTTTCCTACATGCAGCACCACCAATGAAATAATTTTTCAGAGCAAAAAAAAATTATCAAGGAAAATTATTTACGATTAAATTATTTTGTGAGCGAAAAACTGGGCGTAGGAAGAAAGACATTTAACATAAATTAACTGATATATCATACCTGAAATGCAATCCCAACATTTCTTCCATACTGGAAAGCCGTCTCTTGAAGTGTCTGATCAGCTCCACCAAGTACAGCAGCCTGCAAATATAAACACAACTTGATTCTCCTCTCTTTTCAGGATCTTGTTTTTATCAAAAATTGATCAATGCTTATAAAAATTTTAATAAAAAATTGTTTATTGAAATCAAGTGTCGCTGGTAAAGGTCACTGAGCAGATAAATAACCTTTGATCAGTTTTTAAAGGCACTGTTTATGTGTGGTCACTAAACTGTTCTACCATAAAGTGCTCTCAAGTTCACGAACAAGTCGCTGGGCTACCAAAGCGGGGGTGCCATATTCTCTGCAGAGGATCAGAATTGTGACGGCATGCCTTCTGAACTTTCCAATGGATGTTTCCCAGATCATCCGCCAATAGCGTATTGTGTAGACATAAATAAAGTACTAGTATTACTATATACAGGGTGATTCTAAAAAGATGGGCAAAAATTTTAGGAAGTGATTGTACACACCCAAGCAAACAATTTTTATCAAAGAATGCATAGTCGAAAACAAAACGCAAAACCGCTAAAGGGCGTCAAAGTTTATGTTCTTATATGAGGCAAAAACACACAAAGAACGATGAAGTCAAGTTATAAAAGCAAATTTAATGGCATGTGATTACAATAAGTGTTCAAAACAGTGGCCGGCAGCAGCTATGCACATAGTACAACCGCGAAGAAAAGATAGGCGAACATTCTGAAACACACCAGATATCACAACATATACTTAGTGAGCGTGAAATCTATTCTGCTCAAAGATTAGAGTATCTAGAAAAACATTTTGTTAAAGGCTGGGAACTACGTGAGATTCGTGTAAGGTGTTTGCTGAACTTTGTCTCAGCTATAAAGCTTTTCTGCTAGTCATGATCTAGGGTTTAGATACAATAGACCTCTGGTTGATGTGCCTTGTTCCTCAGAGCTGCCCAATCTCTAAGCTAAAATAAGAACTTTTCCTTAGAAATCTCAATTTTTTTTTAAAAATGACACTTAGCTGGTTCTTCCATTAAGATTTTCATCTATTAACATTTAAAAAAAATGTTTCAATGTCATAACTTTTTCTGCTATCCCTCCTGCCTTTTATGCTATCCTAAATCTTTTTAAAGTTAAGTATTGTAAAAATGAGTCAAGTATTTATCGGTTAGGAGTAAATTGTTACAACATTTTAGTGGACAAGTAATACATGGCAACCTTTAGGATGAGCACCATACAGAATGACAGGGGTGGTTCTATTGAGTATTGAAGGTAACTTGCAAAACAATCTCTCTCTCACTCTTTCGTCACTCCTCTAGGCATTAGAGAAAAATTTGAAGAAGTAAAAACCAATTTTCAATTTAAGTCTTGTAACATTTTATTTTATTCATTTGGTTGTGGGCATGCGTCTAAGAAAGTTTTTTCTAACTTTACAGAAAACTTGAACCAAAAATTATTCTGAAAACTTAGATCAAAAGTAAAAAGATGGGAACATTCAAAAATATTTGTTTAGTAAATGAATTATACCTACTGCTTTACATGTGTATGCAGTCAGACTGGCTGTCTTTTTGAAAGTCTTTTGGAGATAGTGAGTAAACCTTTCAGATTCTTCTTCTGAACAGTTCATTTGCATAAACTCTCCCTGAACGAGATCTAGAAGTACCTTTTTAAAGAGAAGAGCTTTTTAGTTAGAGCAGAGAATTATTATTGTATTTTTCAAAGCTTAGTTCAAATCCCATTTCGGTGAATTAGAATTACAATTTACGAATAAAATATTAATATTTATGAATATTGTATAAACATTGTATTGTATAAACTCTCCCTGAACAATATCTAGAAGTACCTTTTTAAAAAGAAGAACTTTTTAATCAGAGCAGAGAATTATCATTGTATTTTTCAAAGCGCTGTTCAAATACCATTTTGGTGAATTAGAATTACAATTTACAAATTTGAGTATTAATATTTATGAATATTATATAAATATTATATTGTATTGTATTGCATTGCATAGTGTATATTGTATAAACTCTCCCTGGATGAGATTAAGAAGTACCTTTTTCAAGAGAAGTACTTTTTAATTAAAGATTTAATTAGAGAGATAATTATTATTGTATTTTTCACAGCTCAGTTCAAATCCCATTTCGGTGAATTAGAATTACAATTTAAGCATAAAATATTAATATTTATGAGTATTGTAATGTATTTAATAAACTCACCCTGAACAAGATCTAGAGGTACCTTTTTAAAGAGATGAACTTTTTAATTAGAGCAGTGAACTATTGTATTTTTCAAAGCTCAGTTCAAATCCTATTTCGATGAATAAGAATTTACGAATAAAGTATTAATATTTATGCATATTATGTAAATATTTTTGACACAAATTTTATTTTACTTGGAAAAAAGCAACTTCAATTTTTGTCAAAGTCTATTTTTTAAAATTGCTAATGAATAAAGTCACCTTTTTTAAGTACTCTAAAAAATGAACACATTACTTTTGCTACAAGCAGTTGAAATAATAATTTAAAATCTTCACCTGAGCTAAAAGATGGACAACATCTTCATTTCCTAACTGAGCGAGTATTCTGGCAGCTTGAGCTAATATGAAGTCACCAGCTAATATTGCCTAAAAGGAAAAAAGGGAATATTTTCTTCATTAATTAAACAAAAAGATATCTCAATAACGTACACCATGCATGTTATGTTCTTTATACAAAACCAGAAAACTAAGATGATCAGCTCCAATTAGGCATGCACTCATTTTTGTACAACCGTAAAACTTTTATAAAAAAACATTTTTTTTATTGGATAAAAACAGAAATCTTTGTAGCAACTAAAACTCCTAACATTTCTGTTTTTTCTTTAAAGTATGTTTTGGGAAATTTAATAATGTAAAGTCAAAGGGAAGGGTACCAACTCATGGTTATTAAATATAATTATAAAAAAATTAGTATGACATCTAGAAAAATTAAAATTGCGATGACTGTCATAAATTAGTTATGACTAATTTATGACAGTTATGAACTTATAACTGACATAAAGTAACTATGAATTGTTTTTTTTATGATTATTCCTTTCTATAATTGTGTATTGAAATTTTCAGAAAAGAGCGTTTGAAACTTTAAATAGAATTTCACATACTAGTTAAGTTCTATTTTCCAGTTAATAGTGTAGCAGCCTATGTAGGTTAAAAAAATTATTAGAAAATCCACTGTTTACAAACGTAAATAAGTGTAAATCATTTAATTTTATTTATTAAAATATAATTTAATTCATATTTATTTTTTTAACTTTAATTTTTATAACAAATATACACTGCTTAATATTTCAATTACATCAAAAAATCAATTTTTCAAACATAAAATAATAATATAGTTATAAATTCATAAATAAAATATAGAGCTGCCAGTAAAATTTTATCAAAACAGTACTTGGGTACCTGAAAAAACACACTAATATTTATACATTTCAAAAGGTTGAAAAAATTAAATAATGAAAGAAAACATCAAATCTATTTTTTATTTTGTTTAATTTGAAAAATATTTACAGGTTTCTTTCAAATTAATCCATTTTAGTTTTATTTCAGTTCTTATTTATAAAATTTGTAAGTTTCTGAAAAACCTGAAACTTTCCGCAATTTTTTTTTTTTGCACGTCATTTGCTAGTTAAACATTGAAGTTTTTCAATGATAATCTAATTATTGTTCCAGGAAAACTTAAAATCTCTTTCTAAAAGGATATTTGAAAACTCACTGCTTCCCAATTAAATATTCTGACAACAGAAATACAGTATAGAACCCGTTATCCGGAAATCAGAAAACCAAAAAACCGGAACGAAATTCGGTAAATTTTCCCGCCATTTAAAAAAAAAATTTTTTTTTTTTTTTCCCAATACGATTTTAGAATTTTTCCTTCTTTTTTGAACGATGTTTACCTTACCATCATTTTGGAAATAATCATTAGTGTATTACTTCATCGTTTTAAGATTATTTTCAAATATTTTTTTTTTTAGTTGGGTTAGCAATAAAAAAAAAAACGGCTTTTTGAAGCGATTCAGAAAACCGGAAAAATCAGTTATCCGGAATAGCGATGGTCCTGATCGTTCCGGATAATCGGTTCCCTACTGTACTTTGTTTTTCAATAACTGGAAAGATAGAGGGGTGAGTTTTTGAGTGTTTTTTTTAAAAAAAAACTTTGCTACGAGTCTTTTGGTTCTCCTGGGACGATGGTCAACCTAATTTAATCCACAAACTACATCATTGGTTAACATAGTTTGATAAAGATAAAAAATACAGTTGTAACATTTAGTGATGAATATAACGTTTATCTAAAATAAAGCGTGCATAAAATAATAATATATAAAAATAATAAATATGTTTTTATTAAAAAAAGAAGAAAAAAAGAAAGGAAACCTTTTTTTGGCCCCATAATACATTAACGCTTGATTTGCCTCTTCGAGTATCAGATGTGTCAATGACATCGTCGTGTACCAGACTGGCAGTGTGAATCATTTCTGCTATAATGGCCATCCTATGTTGAGTATTCAAAAGTCTGAAAACAACAATAAAAAATTCATATCACAAAATATAATTATTCATTGCAAAAGTAAAACCAATACACAAAATAACTTGAACAAATCGCTTCACCAACTAAGAATGGCTATGCATGCACCTTCTACAGAATAAAAAAAAAAAAAAACTCTTAAAAGGACGCTACGCTCAGATTGAAACCCTTCATGACAAATTCTCTTTCCTCTATATAAGTAATTTAAAAACTTCAAAGAATGAGGAAAGTGTTTTCAGGTAAACCTAGAATAAGAGCCGTGATGGTTCAGGGGATATAGCGTTCGCCTTACAACGAGGTGAACTAGGTTCGAACCCCACCAATGGCGGGTCGATACGAATTACGCATCCGGCTTGCACCAACCACAGTGCTGACGTAAAATATCCTCAGTGGTAGATGAATCATGGGTTAGAGTCTCCTTGCTGTCAGGATAACCGTGGGAGGTTTTCGTGGTTTTTCTCTCCATGTAACGCAAATGTGGGTTAGCTCCATCAAAAAGTACACCACGAAAGCAAAATTTAACCCAAAACTTGATTCACGAGTTCGCTTGTCTTCTGGATTGGGTTCAAAATTACAAGGCTACGGAGTTGAACATTAGTAGTCGTAAACCCATAAAATTGGGTAGACATTTCAACAACGGTTATAAAACATAAAGCCTAGAATAAAGCATGAAATTTTAAATGCTGAAAAAAAGTTTTCACAATTTCATTCACAATGCACACAAATTATGTAAGGACTACTTAATAAGGATTATGTAAGGTCTACTTATGTAAGGATTATGCAGTGAAGAAGTTGTCTTGCAATCATTTGTCTTCATTTTGATAATAACAGATAAGCTTCCCCGTGTAAGATCAAATATGGGAGATAATATTGCCCACACTTGACATTTATAAGTCACACAAGCATCCTGTTTTATTGCTATAGCTACTTTACATTAACTATATTGGCTACTACATTTTTTAACAGTAATGATCCTCAATGATTTAAAAACATCATTTTAATTGAACTACATTTAAGCTTCAAAAAAAGACAACATGCGTTGAGTGTTCAAAAATAAGCACCCATTTTGAAGACTTGCCAGGCCTGAATATGTAGATACAAAAGCGATTTGAAACAAAAAATTTTTTAAATTGCAGACGAAAAATGGAAAATAAAGGTGAAAATAACACTACAAAAACCGTAATAGTCGAGAATGAAAAAACAAAACAAGAACTGGATATATTTTTTCACTCTCAGCTACCACTAACATTTTTATTTCACAAAGTGTCAAATGTTTTATTTTTAAGCAAACAGAACTCACCTGTTTGATTCAAATATGTGAAAATTGAGTGCTCTGGCCATCAAGACAATCATCACAGGTCGGAATGCTTTGCCCTGTCCATCAAAATAATAGCTAGAGATCTGTTCTAAGTGAGGGCTTTTTGTCCACAGTTCCTGTTGAATAACACATTAACATTATTCCACAATATATAAATAAGCACACACAGTCGGACTTCTATTTAACGGACTTCCATTTTGCGTTTTTTTTTTCCCGAGGAACCAAGAACATTTTGGAAATTTTTTCAGAAAATAGCTTCCAAATAGCGAAATAATTTTTATAACGAACTTTTCTTTTACATCCACTTTCCCTATTTCTCAAAATATTTCTAACTTGTCAACACATTTCATGGGAGAAATCACTTTGAATTGACTTTCGCAGCCACTTAACTTTTAGAGAAAGCAGTAAAATCCCTTTTATTTTTTGTTTGCAATTCAAACGAAAAACTCAGACAAAACGGATTTTATCTGTAGCAATTAAACTTAACACTAGAAAGACGGAAAATTAGT